TCATTGTAACAGGGCAACAAATTTGTTCTGATCAAATGTTTGTCCAAATATTTGGTCAGTGACCATTTTCTGCTGGACACCTCTTTTTAACAGAGAAAAAGACACAAGGTGCATGGAGGGAGTGGGGTAGTGCATTGGAGAGGGAGGGGGGACAGCTGGATGTTGCCCTTTGACACCAAGGTTTTTCTAGGGCCTGGGGCTGCAGTGGTTGCTGGAGCTGTAGTGGGCACCCTGGTTGGATTGGGGCTGCTAGCTGGACTGGTCCTCTTGTACCAACGCCAGGGCAAAGTCCCAGAGGAGGTGGCCAATGATATCAAGTAAGTGCCCAGACAGGACTCTCCTAGCTCCCTGAGGGAGGCTGGGAATGCAGGCAGCTGTCATCTGATGGAAGCATGGGCTGTGGCTGAAGCATTCCGCCTATGGGTAGATTTGCAGGGAGAGGAGAGTTGAAGTGGGGGAAGGGGAGAGGAAGACGAGGCCTGTAGAATCTCACTCGCTTCCAGTTTCTGACCTCATTGCTTCTCTGATGACTAGGGAAGATGCCACGGCTCCTCGGACCCTGCCCTGGCCGAAGGGCTCAGACACCATCTCCAAGAATGGGACCCTTTCCTCTGTCACCTCGTCACCGGCCCTCAGACCGCCCCACGGCTCTTCCAGGCTGGGTGCATCGACCCCCACACGCAGTCATGGTTGGGTCTCACCCTCTGCCCTGAGTCGCAAGGGTGCTGTCCCCGTGATGGTGCCCGCCCAGAATCAGGCTGGGTCTCTGGTGTGAGGGCCCAGCAACTTGTGGGCAGAGCCATCTGGTGTCTCTCCTTCCTACAGTAATTACTATGGGGGTTACCCCAGCATAAAGGCCTGAGTCTGGGGGGGTTGGCCCCCTCTAGATCTCCAGTCCTTTGCACCCATCCTTCTTTACTATGGGAAAACTGGGTCTTAGTTAAGACTCAAACTTCCAGGAGGTAGAAGAAGAAGAGGAAATGGACCTGGGGTTGGGAAGAGCCTGAACGCCCTCCTGGGGCCACCCTAATACAGCAGAGGAATGCTGCTGAGATTGGCTACCTCCGACCCCCGAGCCCTGGTGGAGACTGCCAGTCAATACGTCCTTCCGGCCCCCTTGACCTCTATCCCACCCCCATCTAACACCACCCTTCACTCCCACTCCAGCTCCCTGCATGAATATACCCTGTCCTGCTGGCTTGGTTGGGTTTTGTTGGGGCAGGGGACAGGGAAGATATTTGTTAAACTAACTTGAAATGCGTGTTTTCAGATGCGTGTTTTTATTTTTATTTTACAAACTTCAATAAAGATATATTGTGTTTGTATGGAAAGTGAGAGTCGAATCCTCTCTTCAAACTTGGAATTCCCGGGAGAAGTTGGGGATGATGCAAAGAGGACCCCTGCCCAGGCTGTGTACTTAGGCCGGCTTCTCCACACGGCCTCTGCCTTACTGGCTGGGGAGAGCTCATCTAAAGCCTTTATTTTTTGTTACTCCTCACCTGAGGATATTTTTCCATTTATTTTTTTAGAGAGTGGAAAGGAGGGGAAAGAGAGAGGAACATCGATGTATGTGAGAGAGGCATCAATTGGTTGCCTTCTACACACACACCCTGACCAGGGATCTAGCCTGCAACCCAAGTACCATGCCCTTGTCCGGAAACTAACCCGGGGCCGTAGGTCCCCAGGCCAAGGCTCTATCCACTTAGCCAAACCGGCTAGGTCTCTTCCAGAGTCTTTAAAAGGTCATTTACCGTCAGGTGGCATGGGAGAGGCACAAAGAGCTCCAGGCTGGGAAAACCCTAACCTGCTGTGAGTAGCAAGGGAATGAAACCCGTGCACTTTCTGCAGGAGCCCGAGTTCCAGAGCTGGGGG